GAGGGAGGATCAGTCGTCACCGACGAGCACAAAGGGGGGACTAAAGAAAATCGACTGTCAATTACGGGGGGGGGGTCGGGATCATAAAAATATAACAGAGCTTTAAGGGGAGATCAGGTAAGTTTCACCGCGCACACCTCCCCCCCCTTCTTCCGCGTGAAAAATAATGTACCATTACCTCATGGTCACTGTCACTTTCGTCCTTATCTTCATTATCTTCATCTTTGCCGAGGAAAAATGTCAGAGCAGCAACCATAATCTAAAGGCATCAAAATACAAAAAATATGGTAAATCACAAATCTGATCAATTTATCGGTACAAAAATGTACCAAAATATATTGAGGAAATTTCAATTGAGCATCACAAGAAAACAGGGATTGCAGTGGTTTACATTTTCTTCACTCATAAGTAAAATACCCTTCTCCAAAACTCTTTTTCAGTATCTTCATGTTGGAAAATCAGTTCAAATCACTGCTTGAGAAATACCATTTCCACTTTATACGCTAACATCAGCATGTATATTCTCCATCCTGTTCTCTATACATTTCCTAAGGTGCTGACAAGGAGAATTTGTTTAACAATCAGGAGCTCCTTTGGTTGGTGATCATTTCCTGTATTCTCAAGACCCTCAGTTTTGATTTAGGGGTGATATTGTAATGAGAAACTAGATACTACATCTTAGTCACTCTCAGTGTTCAAAGAGTCAGGTACTTTAGCTTAAAATTGATGTTTTTTAACACTAAGTACTGTTAAGAGCTATTATTTATTAACTAAATTCAAATTAGCTACCTTTGTAACCGTTGAAAAGCAAGCTGTTGTTATGACATTAACCGTTTTTGCATCATTCCATACGTTCTTTCTGTAAAGTTCCACCATTACATCCAACGATTTCTTCGCAGCTATAACATTACTGTCTCGCAGCATTGTGTACATGAAGTTTTGTAGAGTCTAGAGTAAAATGACAATTCAAAGCCATTACATGCGACTGGTTAATCAATTCACCAATGAAACCATTAATTAATCAGAGTAAGTTATCCATCAGTCAGTCAGTAAGTTAATTAGTCAGTCAGTCAGCCTGTCAGTAAGAGAGTCAGTCAGCCTGTCAGTCAAACAGTAAGACAGTCAGTCACTCACTCAATCAGCCTGTCGGTCAGGTAGTCGGTCAGGTAGTCAGTCAGACAGTAAGACAGTCAGTCAGTCAGACAGTCTGTCAGTCAGTCAATTGGCCATTCAGTCAGTCAGTCAACTAGTCAATCAGTCCAAAGTCAGCAGTCGAAGGGCTAACGCTCGAAACGTCAGCTTTTATAATCGTAACGGTGGCCAATTTACCATTTCAACTTTGTTGATATATTCAAATTATTTCGTTGCCCCCACCAATGCAGCCCCAAACAGTTTCTTTAGAAACTATCAGCCCTTAGTCAATTAGCTACTCAGTCATTGAGTCAGTGAGTCAGTTAATTATCTACTCAGTCAGTCAGTCAGTAATTCAGTCAGAAGTGCTGGATTCACGGACCGGAATAGTTGAATGAGCGATCGCGCTGCCATCATAACACCTGTGAAAGACAAATCCAATCTCACAGTTTTGTATTGAAAAACATAACAAAGCAGTTCGCGAGGAGATAACCCTCTAACTTACAGGATCTTACTTTGTTTTTCTCCTCCCTCGCTGCGACATATTTCTTTGTNAAATACTAATAAAACACTAATAAAACACTAATAAACACAAGTACACCTCTAACCACCATACTGGTCACTTGTATAGCTTTAGCTACCTGACAGAGTGCTCTAAACACTAATAAAATACTAATAAAACACTAATAAAACACTAATAAACACAAGTACACCTCTAACCACCATACTGGTCACTTGTATAGCTTTAGCTACCTGACAGAGTGCTCTAAACACTAATAAAATACTAATAAAACACTAATAAAACACTAATAAACACAAGTACACCTCTAACCACCATACTGGTCACTTGTATAGCTTTAGCTACCTGACAGAGTGCTCTAAACACTAATAAAATACTAATAAAACACTAATAAAACACTAATAAACACAAGTACACCTCTAACCACCATACTGGTCACTTGTATAGCTTTAGCTACCTGACAGAGTGCTCTAAACACTAATAAAATACTAATAAAACACTAATAAAACACTAATAAACACAAGTACACCTCTAACCACCATACTGGTCACTTGTATAGCTTTAGCTACCTGACAGAGTGCTCTAAACACTAATAAAATACTAATAAAACACTAATAAAACACTAATAAACACAAGTACACCTCTAACCACCATACTGGTCACTTGTATAGCTTTAGCTACCTGACAGAGTGCTCTAAACACTAATAAAATACTAATAAAACACTAATAAAACACTAATAAACACAAGTACACCTCTAACCACCATACTGGTCACTTGTATAGCTTTAGCTACCTGACAGAGTGCTCTAAACACTAATAAAATACTAATAAAACACTAATAAAACACTAATAAACACAAGTACACCTCTAACCACCATACTGGTCACTTGTATAGCTTTAGCTACCTGACAGAGTGCTCTAAACACTAATAAAATACTAATAAAACACTAATAAAACACTAATAAACACAAGTACACCTCTAACCACCATACTGGTCACTTGTATAGCTTTAGCTACCTGACAGAGTGCTCTAAACACTAATAAAATACTAATAAAACACTAATAAAACACTAATAAACACAAGTACACCTCTAACCACCATACTGGTCACTTGTATAGCTTTAGCTACCTGACAGAGTGCTCTAAACACTAATAAAATACTAATAAAACACTAATAAAACACTAATAAACACAAGTACACCTCTAACCACCATACTGGTCACTTGTATAGCTTTAGCTACCTGACAGAGTGCTCTAAACAGATAGTCAGGGAAAAAAAACAGTTTCCTAGAAGGCTGTACATGATTTGTCTTATTATTTAATATGATGAGGTATAGGAACATGTGGGCATGTAATAACAATAGTACAAATTCATAGGAAATACAATTTAATGGGTTTATAATTGGGAATTAAAGTATTTTAAAGTATTTAAAAATGAATTGCCTCTACCTTGTTGGTGACAATAAGTTCTTGTTTCGAAGCAGGATAAGAGCTCTACAAATTGTCTGAAAAAAATTTTTCATGCATGAAAAACACAAGTTACGGCACAGGCTGGCTAGACATGCTGGTGAGTTTTAGATCATGAGTTGTTCTTTGTTATCAGTGGTACAACTCAAAACCACCAAACATCTTTGAGGTGTCTCCAGAAGTAAATAAATCTATGCTAATCAGGGCTTTGACTTACAAAAATTTGTCAGGTACATAAATATTGGGTCATACACCAATGCCTGGACTTCAAGCAGTCCCTCCTTTTTGCCAATGTCCATTGTGAAAGTAAAAAAAAAAAAAAGTGAAAATAAAAAATAGAAGTTAGTACACCACAGGGAGCTTTTGGAGTAACAATAGTGTGCAATGGAGCTCCATGAATGAGATGCTCCAAAAGTAAGGTTAGTCTGCAGTCCCCACTTTTCAAGTGGCTCATTCATGGAGCTCCTACAAGCACATCAACGTCACTTCAAGAACTCCCTGCTGTGCGTTAACATAAACTTTTTCAGTTTCAAGGATTTTTTTTACTTGTGCTACAGACCTTGCCAAAAAAAGGGACTGCTCATAGTCTAACCAATGCCAATAAACACTGAAATTACTGCACCATTCTAAGCTCAGGATCCATAACACTGTGATGTCTTTGCAAGACATCAATAAGTTCCTGAGGGAAATGTTCCAGTTCCTCTGTGTAGCAGTGTGCAACCTACAAATACAACAAAATATCTAGATTCAAGAACAATGATTTACAAAGTAAACATAAATATATTCATTACTCAACCACACTCCATAGAGTAGAAATAACATCATCAAATAAATATCATGTGGTAATTGTAACTCCAGAGAACCAGTTATACAGGTTTTCTTGAATCACGCAAGCAACAAATTGGGTTGAAGTTCCAAAAAAAATTGGCAGACAATTTAAATCATTTTTCTGACAACGAAGAGTTGGAATGGCTGGCAAATATTAATCCAAGTTTCTGAGATAAATTGAACAAAGAAAAGCAGTTAGATGACAATGAAATTTCATTTATGAAAGAAAATAGAAACAGTAACACAAAAACAGGCCAATTCCACTTCGCTTCACATACTTCTGTCACGCACTCTGTGTATATAAACATCCGGAAAATTTAGCCGCATTGAAATAACAATTTGGTGTGTTGGATAATAAATAACTTATTAGACGTTTTGATGTGTTGTATCGCTGAGTATTTTTACTCGTTATTTGTATTTTGATTCACCCTTTGGGTTTGTCAAAATATAGCACAACTCATAAAGTTCTCTGTGATACTACACAACAAAATGTCTAATAAGATATACATCCAGATTTATGGCCTGAGCAAATCCAAATGGAAAAAATGAGGCTCTGTGAGTTACAATATGGACCAAGAAAATGAGCTGAGTAGGAGCTTTATCATATGTCTGGCTTCAAAATCCTAACATCAGCAGGTGTATTCCCCACACTGTTCTCCATACATTTCCCTAGGTGCTAACAAAGAGAATCTGTTTAACAATCAAAAGTTTGTTTAGCTGGTGATCATTTCCTTCACTCTCATGACCTTAATGCATGATTCAGGGGTGTTATTGTAAGGAGAAATTAGATGCTGGTCACTCTTGATGGAAAAAGAGTTAAACAAACTTTTGAATTGAACAAAGCATACTGATTTCCACTTAGCCTATTATAGTTTTGGAACCAGAGCATTGTCCCAGGGAGTCTGGGGAGCAACCTCCCCCTTTTATTTAAAGACGAATTGAATACTGAACATAACTGTCAACCAGAGATCGCATAAAGATGTATAAGATGTGTGGAATGCCCTACAAATTGTAAGTTACATTTCGTTGAACTCTCAAATGTTATTTTATATTTAAAACAATCTGTCTATTTGTTTTTTAGTTTGACTTGTTTCCTATGGCAATTAGTACAAGAATAAATGGGTCACTATACATCTGTAACCTTCAAAGCTACAGTAAAGCTTCTAGTTGCAAGCGCAAATCACATACAGTAAAATACAGCCTGCTAAATTAACCAGTCATAGCGCAAGTACTAACAGAGAGATATACATGCATGAACATTGAGAAATTCCATAACTTGCCAAATAAATAATTAGATTGAATTGACTGTTCATTAACTAAAAATAATATAAATTATCGACAAGGTCTGTACTAAAACCAAATAGGCCAAAATGTGCCAGGGTTTATCCTGGTCTTTGTAGTATGAAGGGACTTGGAGTATTGCTACATGTTCCCCCTTCTGGATGGGATGCTGGTCCATCAAAAGCTGGCCGTCAACCTTTTTCCCAGAGTTCCCTGACAGTTTGCTGGTTCTTAATGATTCTCCTGGATAAAGAGAGGCTATTTGAAAGTTCCCTGTCTTACCCAAGAACACATCACAATGATCCCAACCAGGTCTCAACCCAGACCTCTAAACTCTTAGACTCCCATTAGTGACCAAGACAGAATTTCTCCTTACAATATTTAGTTCTTATTAACCAAGCAGGAGGTCTGTATGGGAGAATCTTGACCGAGATCACCAGCACAGACCGAACAAGGGTCTTTCGAATAAGCTCCAAAAGTTGCAAAACCGGGCTGCCCGTATTCTGACCTTCTCCAGTTATGACACAAGCGCTGATCCTCTTTTTGTGCAACTTAACTGGAGACGGTTAGATACTCAGCGACAAATACAAGTGGCCACCATGGTCTATAAATCTATACATGGTCTTGCGCCCGACTATCTTGGTTCTCTTTTCACTAAATATGATCCTCCATATAATCTAAGGAACTCTGAAAACAAACTAGCTGTTCCATTGCCCCGCACCAATTTCCTGAAAAATAGCTTTAGCTATAACGGTGCGGTTATCTGGAATAGCTTGTCCCCTGAATTGCGGCAAGCAAAATCACTTCAATCCTTCCGAAATGGTTGTCGCAATTTCTTCGTCTGAATCGACAAAACACACACGGCATCTATGTAAAGCAGAATTTCTTTATTTTTTTT